TGAATCTTTTTTCATGCAAAATTATTTTCTTTCAAGATTAGTTTACATTCATGAATCTTTTTTCATGCAAAATTATTTTCTTTTTTTCGTTTTTGGTTTGATGCATTAATTCCTTTAAGCCTTGCAATCTTAAATATTCTAAAACATATTACAATTTTCAAGATTCTGGAGCAGTTTTTTCATGTACTCGTTTCATCTTTCAATTATTTCATGACGAACCAAATACATTATGTAACCGTTTCACTAGTCATGCTCAAGAACGCCATGAACCAGTTTCACTTTCATGAAACATATTTCATGTACAATAATTTTCTTATTTCACCACTGATTTGATGGATTTATTCCTTTAAGCCTTACAATCTTCAAGATTCTGGAGCAGGTTACAATCTTCAAGATTCTGGAGCAGGTTACAATCTTCAAGATTCTGTAACAGATTAAAATCATTTCCTCGTTTCATCATGCACTTAGTTCATGACACATCAAATACAAAATGCATCGGTTTCATTTTCCTCTTCACCAACTAAATGGATCAACTACACAATCAATGCAACGGGTTCACCATGAAAATGTTTCGGTTCACATAATTTATTTGCAACATGAACCAGTTTCACGTTCATGAAACCTGTTTCATTTCTGGATTTTTTTTGTTCATCTACGATTTGATGATTTCATTATACACTTCAATTGTTTCATCAAGACCTGTTTGCTGATTCTTAAAGATTACAATATATGAAATTCAAATTTTTAATATTATAATATAATTAAATGTTTAAATGTTTCCATTTATACAATTTCCTTTATTACGTTTCCTTAATTAAGATTTATTAATAACTTACATATTTAACATAAAATATTGTAAATGACAGAAATACTCCTATTGATTAATTTTAATTAGAAAAAAATGGAATTTTTCTATTGGTCGAAATTGGTTTACACGGTTTCTTAGAAATGCACGGTTTTCATTTGAACGTGCATTATATATATATATATATATATATATAGAGAGAGAGAGAGAGAGAGAGAGAGAGAGAGAGTGAAGGGATCAAATGAAAACTGACGTCATTTGTGTAAACCATACAAACGGGATCAAATGAAAACCGACGTCATTTGTGTAAACCATACAAACCAATCTCATCCATCCATTTTTCTTGATCAATGTTCAAGATTAGATTAGTTTATATTGTGAAATAAAAAATAATAATAAAAGTTTATTTTTTAATTGTAAAAAGGGCAAAAATATAGAACATCAAATATCATTAACCAATGCAACAAGATCATATATATCCTAATATTAATGAAACAAAATCATTGTTTTAAAAACTATATATATCATCTTATACTTACAAAGATTTTAACCAAAAATGTTAGAATAATCTTGAAAATTAAACAAGTTCACCCATGAACGTGTTCATTAAAAATCATTGTTTTAATGAACTAATTGTGTACTGATACGTACTAAGTACAATGAAGGATACATGGGGTAAAATGTTTGGTCAAGGTAAAATGGAGGTAAGATTCAAACATCCATGTTTATTTAAAATCGAAATAATATCAAAAGCAACATGACCAAGACGTTTGTGCCATAATTCAAAAGATGCCTTAGTAGGAGATAGGATTGAAGCAGCAAAAGCTTGAGGGCCATGGCTCAAAATGTAAAGTCCATCCTTATGTTGTCCTTTGGCTAGAATGGCCTTGGTTACCGAGTTCTATATAGCAAAATAGGACCGAGAAAACAAGAAATTAATTCAGTAATCGTTAGTTAATTTGCTAACCGAAAGGGGATTCTTTTTGAGATTCAGAACAACAAGAACATCCTATAAATGCAACTGTAGAGTAACAGATAGTGTGCCAAGGCGAGTGATAGGAAGAACATTACCATTTCCAAAGGAGACGTTGTCATTTCCAGTATAAAGGACTGAAGAATCCAAAGTCGTGGTGGATGGTGCCATATGAGCGGTGGCCCCCGAGTCAACGTACCAATCCAGGGTAGGATCATTTAGATTGCAATTGACATGGAAAGCCTGTGCTAGATTAGCTGCTAAGTAGGAGGACGTTTGAGCAAAATATCCCAAATCAGGACAGGTATTGGCATAATGGCCTTCACGGCGACAAAGTTGACAATATGGTGGCCGGTGAGGACGTCCTTTAGACGAAGAAAGATCTCAGTGAGAGAACCGACCAGACTTACCCTTGCTATGAGAAGAGTTATGTTTTCACGAGGATAAAGGTGCACAACTACCGGTTTGCATATGAACGAAAGCCCACAGGGAAGAAAACCCTCTTGATTTGGATCTAATTTGGGTCGATTTGAAGCTACCAGAGGCAATGAAGGGTGAACTCGATCGATTGAGACGATGAGGAGGGTGAATTCGATCGAATGATGAAGTAGAAATCGGTTATCTGGATAATTTTCATGATTAAGAGGAAAATAAGTGGCTAGACTATCACTTAATTTTTAATTGGAAAATAAGGGATAAGTGGCTATGAAAGAAAAATAAAAACAAACAGTATGAATTGCCTTATGTCTGACTCGGTCCTACATAAGTGGTAAAATAAGAGCTTTTTAAAAAAACAAACACCACCTAAATCTTATTTGTTTCAAAAAATTTCCACACAGGTGGTGCAACATGCCTGCAACACTCCTTCAGAACCACTTCTTCAAATTTTCCAAACAGGTATTGCAGCATTACTTTAGCATCACTTCTTCAAACCGCAAAATAAATCCAAAAATCAGTGTTTAAACTGAACATTTACAATCTTATTTTCTACTTATCATGATGTTAACAAAAGTGAGATTTTTAGCTAAAAATACTTGACATTTGGATTTTTAGGGAATTAAAGTAAGCGAAAAACTACTAAAAACTGATGGAAAATACCAACTAAATTGATGTTTATCATATTGAAAGAATCAATCATTTCCACATGTATTCATTTCCAACATGTAACAAATATTGTATCACAGTGAATGGTAATAATTCAAACATACCAATCTGATATAATATCGAAGTAATAACCATTTGATAATATATATGTATTTCAGTTCGAAAATGGTTAGAAGAAAACTACCTTGATCATGAGAATACTCTAATTCTTTACAGGAACGAATGTTGATATCGAATACTTGAAACTGGATCAAATAAGCATGGATCACAACTAATAGATACAATCTAAATATTAACTCTTAACATGTTCCTAGACATATGAACGATACCCAAAAGACCCCAAAACGACACGAAGGTTGTGGCATAAGTCGCGTAAGTCTCTGGACGCGGATGCGTTCCATTGACTTGCAAGCAAACATTCAAACCAAAATGATACCAAACCCGAATAAACTCTCAAACTTACCCAAAGGATTATTTATAAATACTTTTGACCCCAAAATGAGTACAAAGGAAAAACGGCAAATTAGACCACATAGTGTTCCACGACAAGCAAAGTCTCGCACAAGTCTCGGGACTCCACGTCTTTGCCTCTGTTTTCAACCTTCAACAGAAATCAAAACCTATCTGGGTTTGACCCAAAATCACCATCAAGCTCAACACTTCATGAACCAAAAACCTCAAAATATGATTAAAACTTCATGAAACAACTCTCGGACCAAAAACAAAACTAACCCAAGAATCTTAGCCTTCATCGATTCTTAAGGTTTACCATAGAAGAGATTGAATACTTAGTTTTTAGAACACAAAAGGACAAAGGAATAAATCCTTGTATTAGTCCTTAAAGGCTTTCCAAAAGGGAAATCTGTAATTCATCATTTAAACATATATTTAATTCTTTTAGAAAAATAATCTTACCAATCGCATCTTTTTTTAAATAACTGTCTGAGAGTATCTTTGAAAACAACGTTTATAACTTTAGACTAGTCTTTTGTACATTGAAAAGTAATTTCTTGACTATGTTTACAACTGAACGTCTCTACTCAAACTTTCTACGGTAAAAACTTAAATAAAAGACAATATAAAGAAACCCTTACCTTGAACTAACTTGATAAAGCCGATGGAAATTTGAACCAAAAGATGAACACCCACTCACTCTTTATGCAAGCTCCAAAGAGAAGGTAGCGCGCGCACACACACACATACCACTTTGACACGAAACAATCTGGAATGAAGGAACAATAGAGTCGGTGTGGTTTTTATACCACCATAGATAGAATCAAACAAAACCCTCGAGAAAACACATCAACACTAACCACCCTTAAACTTCTAACTTTAATCTAATCAAGGTATTACAGGTTAAATCATGTGAGGAGCAAAAAAGGTTGAGAACTAATTTAATCCATAGCTTAGATTAAATCAAAGGTCATTAGAAAAGAAACCTAATCGAAATGAAATGGTGAAATAAGGGTACTTTTGTCAAATTAGAAGTAAATTGAAAGGTACTGTACCATGTTCAACCATATATTTAACTTATTTTAGCTAATGCATGAACAAGATTGTGTATGTTAATAAGATAATAATGTAACATGAAAAGTGAAAAAAATAAAAGATACAAAACAATTAAATCAATAACTATAACAATATAAATTGTAAGTACTGAAAATATCGTATATCAACTAAAATATGATTATTTATATTCAAATATTTTTAAATTGAATCATTATATCCATACCTTATATAACAAAGCCCAATATTATCTATATTTCGATAATATGAGAATGACACTTGACAAGATGATCAATTCTTTTCCTAGCGTTTGTCTTTTTAAGATTGTATACACCGTTGATCATTTATTGTTTAGTATATCACTATAATGACAAAATTTGATATATTTGTACAAGTTTAACTATACATGGATATCACAATAAATCAAGCCAGATCAAACAAAATGATACAAACCGAGTACATCTCATCAGAATTAAAAGTCTGGAAGGTAAAATATACGCAAACATAATCTCTACGTGTAAAAAAATGTTGTAATTGGTTATGTAAAAACCTAAGACTTGTGAAAAAAAAATGTGTAAAATGATTAAAAAAAAAAAAAAAAAAAAAGATACTAAAAAGTGAAAATCTGAAAAATATTATAAATAAGTAAAAAAGGAAAAGGTAAAAAGCAGCACAGGAATAATTAGGCCAACGAAAAAGTTAAATTGTACGGGTCCACGCTTAACCAATGATTGCCATCACCCAACGGTAATAATCCCAACGGTCGACTTGCTTCCCTGAGTTGTTTCTTCAACTGAGTTGACTCGGTAGTATACTCGATCATTCTACGACTCACCGATTTTAATTCCTTATCTTCCTTCAACCTCAAAAGTTTTGCCATTGACTCGGTCACTAATTCCCAAAATGACTCATTCCGTCTACGGTTCGCGAACAGCTCGGTCAGCCTTTCCTTGCAACCCTCTAATCTCTCCAAATACAAAGTCAATTCACTCAGCTCGTTGGTGCTAAGACCATGGATCCTAGTGCTCAACTCAGTGAGTCGGATCATCGTATGGTACTGAGTCATACGATAATCTTCTCCCACCAATCTCATCACCTCGTAAATTATGTCGTTCGTTTGACAATGTAACGATCTCGGTGCTCTACAGATCTCTTCGATCATCGAAACCAGTGCTTCGATTTCTTTGAATAAATCCATGAATAACGAATATTTCACGTTTTCTTTCTTTTTATCGATTTCGGCTTTCGAAGATAGCGAACAAACTAAGACCTTGGATGTCGAAAGATTGCTTTCGAGAAAGCGCGCGTACCATTGGGCCCACAACGAGAACTCCCGTGATTGCGTGTCGGTGTTATCGATGAATCTCGAGAGGTTGAGGTAGTGGTGGTCGGCGGCAGAGGTAGGGCGGAACGATTGGTGGTCCTTGGGGACGAAGGAACCTCCTGCGATGATCGAGTGTAGGGTTATGAGAGACTTGAGCGTTACGTAAGCGTTCGGTTGGTGGTGGTGGTGGAGACGGTGGATGATGGCGGATGTGCAGGCGGAAGCGGAGTGGCGGGTGGTGTGGGCGACGGAGAGGAGGGAGGAGATACGGTGGTCTGGTGGTGGGGAGTGGGTGGAGCGGGTGGTGGCACGGATGACGGCGATTTGGATGGACGTGGTGGTACGATTGGTGATGGTGAAAGTTGCTTTGATGATTTTGGCTTTGTCTTTTAAAATCGAGTGTAGGTTTTTGAGTTTCTTCGATTGCCCCATTTGATTCGAAAATCTGTGTGGAAATTATTTTGATTAAATACTTGAAAAGATTAAAATAAAAAAGTAATAAATTAATATAGTAAAAATAATAATTTATTAAATAAATATAAAAGTGTGAGGAATTATTCAAACACGATTCCGACATTACACCGAGATTACACGGAGAAATAAAACAGAAAAAGACAAAATAAAAGGAAGACTTTTATAAATTATAAAAATGGTCCCTAGACTATTAGCGAACTGGACTGAATTTAGTCTTTTGACTTTTAATATTACATATTTAGTCCAAGTAAGTTAGTTAGAAATTTCATACTTATTTCTATCTAGTTTGAGTTGTTATTTGTTGGGAAAACATTAGGATTATTTTGGTTGAAAATGTTCTATTTACAGTTGTTATGCGGGTAAAAGTGGCTTGTAGTGTTTTTTAAACCACATGGTGACTATTAAACGAGTCTCTTTCATCCAAAAGTACGGCGATGATCCCTCCCTTATTCTGTAGTTGATACAGAGTTGTGGAAGCAAGCGCTTTGGGGAAGCAAAAAATGCTGTCTATTTGGGTTTAGATACAATCAAGATCTCAATTAGGTCTTGACCGGGAGATGCACACAGGGTGGTGCATATGATAGCCGAGTGCGTACCTCTTTTTCTTTGATGATGTTTATTTATTTTATTTATATTTTATATTAAATATTTTAATTTCTTCTTTATTTTATAGGAAAGTGACGCCTAAAGGACCCAAGTTAGAGATTTGGTGGAAGAAAGGCAACACCGAAAGGTGGAAGATGAGCGCTGATGAGAGATAGATGAGATAAGTCAGAAACAATATGAAGAGATAACTGTTTTGATCAGACAACCCAGTCAATCTCAACAGTTTCCGTCGCAATGGCCGCCAGAGTAATGAGGATTTGATTGTTTTGGAACAATTTCAATTGTCTTTGGAACAATTTTAATGAAACATATTAGTTTTTGTTTGAAACAACTGTGTGGTATTTTTGTCCGGAAGATTGTATTGGACGATAAATTAATGTATGATATTTAATAGCATTTAATGTTTTTAGCATTATTTTTCTTCATATTTACAGGTTTTTAATAAAAACAAGAAATTCTTTTTCTGGAACTATGTGATTTCCCCACGGATCACCAGTGGATTTATTCCGCGGAAAATATTAAAAATAATATAAATTTGTTTAAAAATATAGAAGTTTTCCGACGGAATATATTACCGACGGAATTTCAAAAACAGGAAATCTTTTTCTGGAACTGTATGATTTTCCGGGGGATTACGATGTATTTTGACGGAATATATAAAAAACAATATAAATTTATTTAAAATTATAAAAGTTTTCCGACAGAATATATTATCGGGGGATTTCTGTCGGAATATTCCGCCGGTAATTTAATTCAATAAAAAAATTATTAAGAATAAATTTCTAATTACCGGTGGAATATTCCGTCGGAAATCCGCCGGAAAGCTAAACGTGATTAATGTAATCTGTAATTAAGTCAAGATTTTTTAAACAAATTCAAATATTGAAGTGGCGGATTTCCAACGCCCTCGAAGTTCGCCGAAAGTCAAGAAGCCTCTGGTAAATAGGTCGGTAATGTGATTTCCGTCGCCCTTTTCCGGCAGGCAAAATCCGCCAATAACTTGCTTTTCCGACGGATTTGGCCGCCAAAATAGTCCCCTTTTTGGTAGTGACACGCATGGACGCACATATGGATACACATACACCCATATATATATAAAGAACCTTCTTTTGAGAACTTTGTAAATCGTGAGATTATATATAAAGAACCTTCTTTTGAGAACTTTGTAAATCGTGAGATTTCTAAAAAACCAGTACATCATGTGCTATTTTATATGACTTTTTTCATCTATGACTATAATTTAATATAATGATTAACGTATTTTTGTTTTATAGTGTGTTTGTTTCACATATACTTGGATCACAATGTGAACCTTTATGACATGTTTGTGAAACAAAAAATATACACGTAAAAAGTTTCACATAATGAATCAAATACATATTAAACAAACAAATTGTGAAATAAATACATTAAAAACTATAATTAAATTAAAAAAATCACGTATAACAAAATTTTAAAATAATTTTTTTTTTACAGATTTCATAAATTTTAGATTACAATAATTGAGCCATATATATATATATATATATATATGTGTGTGTGTGTGTTTTTAGAATTAGGAATATTTGTTGGATCACAATTAAAATAATCAAAATATATTGGTAAGGGAGTTTCATTTATTCATTCAACCTGCGATTTTTGGTACACAAGTTGTGGTGTTTGACTATTTTATTTTGTCAATTTAAATTTAATGTCAACTCCCTTGAACTTCTGACATCAATGAAACATCCAAAAAACTATAGAAACATCAACATTAACTATTCAACTCGGGGGGCCTGTATCGATCGTCTGCTTACGATTTCAAATATTCGACATCGAGAGAGGGTGTAACTGATCTCCTTGTCGATTGGGTTTATAATTTGTAAGAATCTTTTAAATGACAAAAAGTTGTATAAACTGAAAAGTAGTGGTATCAACCTCTCAAATGATTTTTGTTTTTCTCAATGTAGTTAATTTTGCCTTAAATATTAAAATATTGAGGGGTTTATAAATGCCATAAATATAATTTTTTTAATAGATTCTTTAAAATAGAGAAAATAAAGAGTTTAGGTTGATTTTTTGTTTCAACAGATTTCAAAATAGACAAAGTATAAGAGGGTGTTTGGTTCGCAGATTCTGAATTTTTTTTGATGGAATTAGAATATTGAATTCCATTGACCAAATTTCATTTATTTGTTAGGTTCATTCTTTTTCACGAAAGGAATCTTCAAAATCCTACAAATTTCATTCATTTGTTTGGTTCATTCTTTGTTTATAAATGCCGACCACCGCCATCTGAACCACTATCGTTACCGTCAGCCACCGCCAACCACCACCGTCAGCCACCGCCGATCTTAACCACCACTGATCTGAACCATCACTGATCACTGTGATCTGACCACCGTGGACCACCATTGATCTGAATCATCGTCGGCCACCACCATCTAAATCACCATGGACCACCACCACCGACATGAACCACCGCTAACCACCGACGACTACCATCGATCTGAATCACTGCCAGTCACCGCCGATCATCACCAATCTACACAACCACCGATTTGAACCTCCCATGACCACCGCCATCTGAACCACCACGATCACCACCGATCTGAACCACTGTTGATCACCCACCATCTGAATCACAACGGACCATTACCGATCTGAACCACCCCCAAATCTAAACCACCGCTGACCACCCCTAAATCTGAACCACCACTGACCACCGCCATCTGAACCACCGTGGACCACTGTCGACCTGAACCACCACTGATCTACCACTCGACCATCGCGATCTGAATCACCGCCAACCACCATCGAATTGGCTATTTTACTTGATAAAGAATTAGCTATTTTCAGACAATTTTTTAATAAAGTCGTTTAGTTTTTGGTTATATTTGGGTTGTTATTTTATATTGTTTTACACATTAAATAACTATTTCATTCAAGTACTTTTAGCTTTTAAAAATTTAAATTTACAAAAGTGGATATTTTGGTCATTTATCAATATTTCATTCCAATTCCAAAACTACATTTTGTAAATCAAAGAGACAGATTCCAAATTCTTAACAAATTCCAGTCCAAATGTCTACTAACCGGTGGTCAAACCTGACAATATTTCATTTCAATTCCTTAAAAATCAAATTCTTGTAACATAGATTCAAAAACATTATGTGAACCAAAAGCCACCTAAGAGAAATTGTAAAATTGTCTGAATTTGGAGAACGCTATAAAAATGATTGTTTAGGGAAATCAATCTTTTATGATAGAGCAATATTATATATATATATATATATATATATATATATAAAATATAATATAATGAATGTTGTAATATAAAAAATAGAAAATTGTTGGACTTGACAGTAATTTTTTTGAAAATTTTGATATTTGATTCTACATTTTAAAAAATATGTTAGAGATGCTTTAACAAATTTTGTCTTAGTTACTATTTATATAACAAATTATTTTTCTCAACCAATATAACAAATTTTCTAATTCGTACTTAATGTAACAAAGTTTCAATGATTTTTATTTTGTACCCGCTTTGATCGGTAACGTATTGCTCTTATAACATTTGACAAAAATATGTCAAGTTTATCATCCACTTTTTCGTAAATATTTCGTAAACTGATGTTCACATCATCCGATGTTACATGCTGAGCAAGTTACCAGTTAAAATGGGTGCAAAATTATAATTGATGCGCTGTTTTACACCCCAATTGATCCCGATTCAAAATAAATTCATGAGGAAGTGGTAAGAAGAAACTTTATTACTATAATAGAGAAAAAATTATTCGTTACACAAAACATAAATAAATCATAACTTATTGCATTTTAATGTATTTTGTCTAACCACCATATACAAATTTGCAAAAAATCAGAGAAAGAAAGCGTGAATTTCTTAAAATATTCAAATACAGTTACAATTTTTTTTATTTTTCATTTTATTGTGATTTTGGATTGTAAAAGAAAGAAAATCTTGGTGGGAACAATACGTGATACATATTGTTGGTTTTAAATGTTTAACCTATGATGTGATTTATATGTGTTTATATATTAATTGACAATACAAGAATATGTAACACCTTAAAATTCAAGATTATCATAATAACAAATAATCATTTGACAACCGCAATATCAAAATCCAATTATATAACTTTTCAAAGATCTCTTCAAAACGATCAACAGAGAGAAGAAAATCTAGTCGAAACTAAGATTCTTACTGAAGTCTAACTACCTGAGCTTCCAATGAAGTATAAAATAAACATCACTACAAGCAAACCTATAATTGAAACAACCTTCTTCCCGAGGTTTATAGCTTACCCATTCTCAACCTGATACCCGCCTGAAATATTTTAGTTTGAAAATGA